ACCGATACATGGCCCTGCCGACTTAGGGAGGGTTTAGGTCAGCGCTGGACAGTGTGTTTGTCATTTGGGGATTTATATCGCACAGGCCCAAGGTCCAGACCTGGCTACATTCAGTTCCGGACTAATGCCTAGGCTAGAGAACCAAAGCGAGTTTCAAGGTAGAACAGGCTGTGGGACATTTAGCTAAAGTGGAAGGGAAACGGTAAAATGGATCCGAGACCATGAAATGATTCTTAAGACCCAATCTCTAGCTCTCTGCCAACTGGTGGCCTCGGCAAACACTTCTCAGACCAGTCACTTTTCATAGGAACCCTGGAAGTGCCAGACCGGACCAGGTCAGAGGCATTCCATCTCTGACCAACATCATCTGCTTCAGAGGAAGGTGTAAGTCATGTGACAATCCTGCTCTCTAGTGCTCAGACTGGCTGGAACCCTGAAGCAGGAGGTCTGATGTCCCTTCCAATGCATCGCTTTTACATGCACTGTTTAACTCTGGAATCTCTGGTTCTCCATAGACATCCCAATCCCTTTTTTAAGTCTTGTCACGCTCTCGTCCACACAGACATCCTGTGGCAAGGAGTTCCACAGCCTAGTTACATTTTCTGTAAACATTTTTCTTTTTATCAGTTTCGCACCTTTCAATATCACTGATTGTCCCCTTGTTCCTGTGCTGAGACACATAGATGGCAGACGATCCTGATCCCCTTCTCTAAGCCATTCCCTGTCCATTTTTCTCTTCTCTAAGGGAACAGTCCCAGTCTTTTCAGTCTCTTCCTATAGGAGGTTCTCCCCCGCCAAGGCCAAGCCCTGAGACCAGCAGGAGCGGAGGGGAGAGATTCCCACTGTGATGACACTGGCAAAGTTACCTCTTGCCTCTGGCAAGCAGCAGTCTCCACAGCGGCAGGCTCTCTGCATTCCTTAGGCCTTATGCTGGATTCTCCTTCATGGTCGCACAGCTAGCACTTAGCTTATGCTGCTGCTGTAACGTATCCAGCGTTAAAAGGTAAAGTGGGTGGAACGTTATAACCAAACCTGCTTGTGCAATGAAAGTAAAATCTGGGAACGTGCCCTGCCATGTCCCCAGCTGAGTCAAAACCCCAAAATGTTACTATTCCCAAGCATGGTTGTGCCAAGCAGAGCATCCTGGTTTGTACAGCAGTTCCTGACCCCCGTGCAGGACTCTGTGATGGGGCCAGCTGCTTTTTCAGGTAGGCCGAGCTGGCCGCGGGAGGTAAAAGCCTTACCTTTGCCCTTACACTCCGAGGCCCAGTGCCCCGTTCCGCCACATCTGAAGCAGGTATCTGAGCCTCTGTCGAAGCACCTGCCACCTCCTCCAAACCATTCGCCTTTCTTCTGCCACTTCTGCTTCCACACCTGTAAAGGGACCCGCATGCCTAAGCCAGGGCCTTGCTTGTAAGCCAAGCAAACCCCCTCAGACACAGGCAGGTCAGCAGACACAGTGACCTCCTACATCTCCACACCCGTCAGGGATCGCTCCTGGGAAAGTTACCACCCCCAGGGATGGCAGTCAGCAGGTGTGTAGCAATGCACAGCACCACTGCGAGGCCATGAGGCAAAGCAACGGAGAAAAATGAATTCATTTGAAACCGCAGATAATGGGAGGCTAGAAATGCCTTTGGATGGAAACTGACTTTTGGGTAGCTCGCTCAGCAAGCGTTTCCCCAAAATAATCCCGAGAATGGATCTTTTAGAAAAATAGCCAATGTTGATTTAAAAATTGCTAGGAATGACTCTACCACAACTTCCAATAACTTGTTCCAGTGGCTAATTATCGTCCCTGCTAAACACATACTCCTGATTGTCAGCCTGAGCTGTCTAGCTTCAATTTCCAACTGCGGGTTTCTCGTGACACCTTTCTCTGCTGGACTGAAAAGCTCATCATCAGATATTTGTTCCCCAGCTAGGTACTTATAGACTGGGTCACTCCTGAATCTTCTCCTTTTTAAGCCAACTAGATCGAGGGTATGTCTACACAGCGAAGAAAACAACCCCGCCTGGCCTGGGCCAACCGACGGGGGCTCACAGGGATCAGCTGTGCGGCTGTTTCAGTGCTGAGTAGATTTCTGGGCTGGGGCTGAAGTCCAGTGTGACCCTGCCCCCCATATTCTTCCAAAGGGTAAGATTATGGTATGATGATGATGTCATTATGCAGCAGTTTGTATAAGACGTGTCTTGTGAGGTGTCTATGGAAAAGTGGCAGTTTGCTGAATAGCACTATCCTATTTGTGTGGGTGTATCATTTTTGTATCTGAAGCTAGGAATACTGACTGACTATCTGTATGTCACATGCAGTTACATCTGGGTGACGCCCACTAAGCAAGATACTTCCACTCTAGACAGCTGGTTGTGAAAGACCTATTCAAGACAAGGCAGAACTGGGAGGCAAGATCAAATCAGTATCTTAGATGCCTATATACAAATGCAAGAAGTATGGGTAATAAGCATGAAGAACTGGAAGGGCTAATAAATAAATACAACTATGACATCGTTGGCATCACAGAAACTTGGTGGGATAATACACACGATTGGAATATTGATATAGAAGGGTACAGCTTACTCAGGAAGGACGGGTGGGGAAAAAAGGGAGGAGGTGCTGCCTTATATATTAAAAATGTACACACTTGGAGTGAGGTGGAGATGGACATAGGAGCACAGCATTTTGGTACCTGTGTTTTGATACCTGGAATGAAACCTGAGTTTGGAACAAAGGGCTCCCACCATACGGAAAAGCTCTATATAAGATGGGAAGTGACATCAGCTCTTCGCTTCACTCCCCACACAAGAGAACATGTGGCAATACCTGAGGAACAGACTGAACTAGGAGAAGCGCTGGTCCTAGGCTAACAGCATTTCTAGCCTGTGTATGGAAATAGGCTCAGTTGGTGGATTTATTTACTTGGTAACCTGCTTTGATCTGTTTGCTCTCATTTATAATCACTTGAAATCGTAATACACTTGCTTTATGCTTTATCTAAACCCTTGAGCCTTTGAGTGAAGATCCCAGGGGAGTGCAAGACACTATAATGTTGGGGCTCATTCCAGTGGGGGTGTAAGCTTGGGACACTGGCAAACTGGTGTCTTTGGGTGGCAAAGGTAAGGCACCTAGGTAGCTCAGTTGGGTGTATGGCACCACCTGCTGTCATGTTGGGTGCTAAAAAGGTCATAGAATTATAGAACAATAGAACTGGAAGGGACCTCGAGAGGTCATCGAGTCCAGTCCCCTGCCCTCACGGCAGGACCAAGCACCATCTAGATCCGTGGTCCCCAACACGGTGCCCACGGGCGCCATGGCGCCCGCGGGGGCATTTCAATGCGCCCGCCAGGTGCTCGGGGCTGGCCTGGCCCCAGGCACATGGCGCACGGGCACTTGCGGGGGGAGCGCGCTTGGCGGGGGGAGCCCCGGGCGATCTTTGAAAAATCATGGCAGACAGGGGAGATTCCAGAAGACTGGAAAAGGGCAAATATTGTGCCCATCTATAAAAAGGGGAATAAGAACAACCCAGGAAATTATAGACCGGTCAGTTTAACGTCTGTCCCAGGGAAGATAATGGAGCAGGTAATTAAGGAAATCATATGCAAACACTTGGAAGGTAATAAAGTGATAGGGAATAGCCAGCATGGGTTTGTGAAGAACAAGTCATGCCAAACTAATCTGATAGCTTTCTTTGATAAGATAACGAGCCTTGTGGATAAGGGAGAAGCGGTGGATGTCATATACCTAGACTTTAGTAAGGCATTTGATACGGTCTCGCATGATATTCTTATTGATAAACTAGGCAAATATAACTTAGATAGGGCCACGATAAGGTGGGTGCATAATTGGCTGGATAACCGTAGTCAGAGAGTTGTTGTTAACGGTTCTAAATCCTGCTGGAAAGGGATAACAAGTGGAGTTCCTCAAGGGTCTGTTTTGGGACCCGTACTGTTCAATATCTTCATCAATGATGTAGATATTGGGATAGAGAGTACTCTTATTAAGTTTGCAGATGATACCAAACTGGGTGGGGTTGCAACTTCTTTGGAGGATAGGGACATAATTCAAAATGACCTTAGCAAGTTAGAGAAATGGTCGGAGGTAAACAGGATGAGGTTTAATAAGGAGAAATGCAGAGTGCTCCACTTAGGAAGGAACAATCAGTTCCATACATACAAGATGGGAAGCGACTGTCTAGGAAGGAGCATGGCGGAAAGGGATCTAGGGGTCATAGTGGACCACAAGTTGAATATGAGTCAACAGTGTGATGCTGTTGCCAAAAAAGCAAATATGATTCTAGGTTGTATTAACAGGTGTGTTGTAAGCAAAACTCGTGAAGTCATTCTGCCGCTCTATTCTGCACTAGTTAGGCCTCAGCTGGAGTACTGTGTCCAGTTCTGGGCGCCACATTTCAAGAAAGATGTGGAGAAATTGGAAAGGGTACAGAGAAGAGCGACAAGAATGATTAAAGGTCTAGAGAGCATGACCTATGAAGCCAGGCTTCATGAACTGGGCTTGTTTAGTTTGGAAAAACGAAGATTAAGGGGGGACATGATAGTGGTTTTCAAATATCTAAAAGGGTGTCACAAGGAGGAAGGAGAAAATTTGTTTCTCTTGGTTTCTGAGGACAGGACAAGGAGTAATGGGCTTAAAGTGCAGCAGGGGAGGTTTAGATTGGACATTAGGAAAAAATTCCTAACTGTCAGGGTGGTCAAATATTGGAATAAATTGCCAAGGGAGGTGGTGGAATCTCCCTCTCTGGAGATATTTAAGAACAGGTTAGATAGACATCTGTCAGGGACGGTGTAGACGGAGCTTGGTCCTGCCTTGAGGGCGGGGGGCTGGACTCGATGACCTCTCGAGGTCCCTTCCAGTCCTATTATTCTATGATTCTATGATTCCTTCCTAGACAGTCGCTTCCCATTTTCTGTGTGTGACACGGATTGTTCCTTCCTAAGTAGAGCACTTTGCATTTGTAAGGAAACCAAGGTTGCAGGGCAGGTGGTGACACACATCCTCACTGAAGGATTGGTTTCAGTGCACCCCCTTTCCAAAAAAATGGTTATGGGGAACTTGCTCAAGCAAAAGAGATCTGTTGTTATGTGCACTGAGGCATGCACAGATGTGCACCACCAGTAGAAACACATGCTGCCAGCTGTGGGTGCTCTGCAAGTCATCTGGGCAGCATTTGAATCTCTCCTGGGTGGTTGCCCAAGTGCTCAGCTTACAGGGAACACTGGTTCTGCCCTCAGGGTAACTCTGAGTTCAAAGAGCAAATGTTATTCTCTTCTCTCCCCCCTTCCCACCACCCCTCCTTTCATTTACTACATACAAGTGGCAGCACTTTGTCCGGCCAGCTGCACTGTTCCCCAGCCCCACTGCACAGTCAGTCGCTGTCTCCCAGTTTTATGGATCCGTCACACAATAACAGGGAGAGGAAATATTTACAAAAATAAGAAAATGCGATTGCAAACCCAGAGAAACTTGCAGGAGGATTAAGGGGCAAGGGTAAAACCTGAAACTGCTTTAAACTCACTTGAAAAAGTGAAGTAGATTTCAAGCTTGTTAAGTCCTTTCATGAAAGGGCAAAACCTAGCAAGCAAGAGGGTATAAATACCTAGTGTTGTCAGAAATAGGGTCTACAACAGAGAGTGAAACATTCCGAAGTACTCACAGCCTAGGCTGCAGGTGAGCGGAGACAGGGAAGGAGAAGTTAGCAATATAAAAAAGCACAGACCTGGGGAGGGAGGGTTAGTCTATTTTATAAAGGGAGGGGCTTCCCCTTAATTAGTACTCGCCAAGCAACTGGCCGTCTCACCTGCTTGCGAAGGTGGTTACCTCTCAATGCGTAACCTTTAACGTGAGATCTCCTCTTCAGGTTGAGTCTGACAAAGTTGCCGTCCTTCTTCGGAGGGGCCCTGGAAAAGCAAGTGCAGACTGTAGAGAAAGTAGCGTGTGGGTTGCCCATGAAGATGCCCTGCATCACATTACTGCTGCAATGAAAGCTGGACTGCATCATGGAAGGCAGCATGGTTCAATGGTGAGAGACGGGGAGGAGTTTTCCTAAGCAGAGTGAAATGCAAATAGTGAAGTCGGCCCACTGTTGAAACCAACCTCACGCTGCGCTTCTCTAGCGCCTCCCATCCAAGGGTTTCAAAGTGCTGCGGAAACAATGATTAATCTTCACAAGCCCCAACGACAGTGATATCATCATCCCCATTGTACAGAGGGGAAATTGAGGCACAGAGACGCTAATGGCCACATTTTCAAAAGTTGCTCTCTCATCCTGGGGGTTTTGATTTGGGAAAGGCCACCTTGAGACCCTGGGTCCTGACTAGCTGAGGGGGTTAAGCACCCACAACTCTAAATAGAGCCAATGGGCGCTTGTGAAAAAATGAGTGGTGATTTCTGAAAGCGTTGGCTTAAGAGTGGTCCAAAGTCACGCGCTCCATCGGTGAGAGAGCCAGGAACAGAACCCAGGTGTCCTGGCTCCATGTCCATGTCGGGCACATGAGATTATCCAAGAGAAAGGCGATTCTGTCCCCCTCCCACACACCCTGAATAAGGTGTTATGCTGAGAGCAACCCATTGATTTGGGTGAGGGTGGGACAGAATCTGTCCCCAACCATTTTTCAAGTATGCTCTCCATGCTCAGTCACTTAGGGTATGTCTACACTACAGGATAACGTCGAATTAAGATACACAACTGCAGCTGAAGTCGAAGTACAGTAACTCGACTTTTGGCGCTGTCCACACTGCAGGAAGTCGAAGGGAGCACACTCTCCCTTTGACTTCCCTTACTCCTCGTGGGAGCAGGACTACAGGCCTTGACCAGGGCGCCCCTCTCAGTTGGAATTACTGGGTCTTCACTAGGCCCGCTCATTTGAACCCTGGAAAATCAATAATGGCAGCTTCGATCGTCTCTGTAGTGTAGACGTACCCTTAGGGAGGGAGATATTCTGAAACAGTCGGTTCCAGTGTTCCCTGTGAGCGGGTGTGGCCAGTCAGGAGAGATTCAAATGATGCCCAGCTGATTTGCAGAGCGCCCACAGCTAGGGGTTTTGTTTCTGCTGGTGGTGCACATTTGCACATGCCTTGATGCACATGAAAAAAATTATTCTGCACATGAATGGAAAAAATTAGAGGGACCATTGGGCAATCCTGATTGCTGCTCTTCCCCTTCTGGGCTCCACAGCTAATCTAGAATCTCTGGAGTCACTCTGCAAAAGCAGCCGAGCAGTTCAGCACTGACTTGTGCTTACCTCAATAAATGCTCTGGACACGGAGCCTTGAAGTGGGACATGGAAGGGCTTTGACAAGAAGACTGGAAAGTTGTCTCGCTTCCTTGCGAGGCTGGGCTAGCTTCTATCGCCACCACGCTGGGCTGGGTTTTAATCATTTACTTTACCCTCTCCTGCTTGCAGTCTCCATTTAGTGGCCTGAGAAAAATCCTCATCTCCTAACCCTGGCCTGCTCCCAGTTTGCATGTGGTTTGATTTATTTCTCCTTTTACATCAGAATCAACCCCCACTATCAGCAGCTGGCAGGTTTAGTTGCCTTCTCACTGCCAAGAGCCAGACTCTTCTCCCAGCTACACAGATCAAACTCTGCTCCCCCAGAGCAATTCTCAGTGGGTACGTGGTCTCTCAATGACCAGAGTGAACTGTCACAGGCACAGCAGCCTCTAAGCTGCTCCACTTTATGCTAGGGCCAGCTTGAGAACTGGAAAGCTGTAACCTGGCCCCTGACTGCTTCTCTCATCTGCATCTTCACACGAGAGGGGATCTGGCCCCCGGTTTACAAATGAAGCCAGACTACGGCCACTCCCCTCAGAGCTGCTGGCAGGAAGAAGGCTACGTTAGGCCATGAGGACGCTCGTTCAGTACTGAAGTCAGTACTCCAAATCACCTTGGAGTGCCAGCTGCACCCAGCTGCAGTTCACATTTAGGGCGCCGTTCAAGTCCAAGCAAGTTTGAATCTAATTTAATCCATTGATCTTACTGCCAGGTGGTTTGCAGGAATTGCAAGAGCTGCCCAAGTTACACATCTCTAGACCCTGGCCACTTGGATAAGCAGGGAGCGTTGCATGGTGGGACTGTTAGTCTTCCAGGGCCACCTGTCTACACGCAAGTCAAGGACTTCTGCCTACATCATACAACCCCGTGGGCTGCAACTTGGCCTCCCCAGCTGGATTCTCAACCCCAAGACTGAGGCACTAGAAGAGACCAAACCCACCTGCAGACACTGGCTGTGCTGCTCCATTTCTGCTTCCCCTCCCCTTCGACTTCTCCAAGGAGGTTTTCAGAGAGCACCGGCACATCCCTTCCCTTCTCTTCAACCGCCGCGGACTCCTCATGCTCTTCCAGGTTGTTTTTGTCTGGCTTGGGCGCACAGACAGCCCTTCTCGCTTTCTTCTTCGCTGAGACGCGCTTGTCTCCGGCTGACGCATTAGTCCGCCTGCGCTTTGGAGCCGCAGCACCATCTTCTGGGTCTGCCGCACCATCATCTCTGCTGGCCGGCGCCGTTCGGGGCCTTTTTTTATTGCTCGTTTTGACCTTCTTGGGTTGACTGGGCCTGTCCCTTGTTCTGCAGGATGCTCCTCCCTCCCCTCCTGAAGTGTTACCGAGCTCTTCCTGCTCTGCTCCCATGCGGGCATCCTTCCGGAGATTCTTAGGTTTACTGACACGTTCTTTGGCAAGGCGGATTTCTGCCGTGCCAAGCGCCGAGTCCATCCTGCCGTTCCCTCGGGTTTCACTAGTACCCTGCTCAGCCGCCCTGCAGGCATCTCCCCCTCCTTTCATTAGATCATCCGCCTCCAGCACAGCTCCTTGCGGGGTTCTCCTAGAAGGATCCTGCTGGTTCTGCCGTTTCCAGCCCCCCAGGAGACTGTTTCCCAGAAGCGGAACATTCTCGTTTTCCAGGGACTGAGCCCTAGCTCCTGTGGTTTGGTTCAGGGAATGGCTATGCAGAGGTTGGTCAGCATTCCCCTGCAGGACAGGGCCTGCTGCTGGCTGATCTCGGCTCCTGCCATTTGAGGTAGAAGCACTTTCCTCTCTTGGTCTCTCCCCTGCTTGCTCCCTGATGCCCTGACACCTGTCCAGCCAGCCAGGATCCAGGGAGCCCAGTCGCTTGGCCACCGTCTGCTTCAGCTGCTGGAACTTATTTACCTGAGGGCTCGGCGTCAGCCCCGCATAGAGGATGGTGGGGGCCAGCCCCAATATTGCGGGAGGGAGAAGATCATCTCCTGGTTCGCTGGCATCAGAGTTAGTAATGCAGGCTGTGTTGCTTTTCAGTGGTGGTGTCCGCGGGGGCTTTGGACATGCCCCCTGGCTGCTCTCATCCGAGCTCTTCTCCACCAGGGGCACAGCTGGCCTCCTTCGGGGAGTCAAGGACGTTCTCCAAGTTATAGGACGCTCCTGCAATCAGAATTGAATGGCAGTGAGTTTTCAGCTGTTCCAGGCCTAGGCTAGGCACTACACTGCCACCCTTGGAATTCTGCTTCTCCACATTGTTCCCCTCCCCAAAGCCAAGCTGCTCCTACAGAATCGCTTCTTCCAGGACATTCCTTCTTCTGAGCTTCCCAGTGCCTCCATCAGCTCTGCCAGCTCGTCAGAGCAAAGACCGGCTTCCCGGCACAGCCCCACGTGCAGGGTTAGCATCTATGCAGCTTTTAACAAGCCCCAAAGTAGTATTAGCGCTTCCAAAAACTAGGGATGTTAAAACACGGTTATTTGTGTAAACATGTAACGGGAATTTTTTAGCCATTACACATTTACATGTGAGGAAAAGGGAGGCAGGCGGGAGCCAGCTTTTAAGCAGGCTCCTGTCCCTCCCCCCCGTCCCCCCCCGCCGTGCTCCTCAGACAGGGCAGTCAGCTCAGCAGGAGCCAGTATGCAGGGGAGCCAGCTTGAAATCCAGCTCCCAGTGTGTACCAGCTCCAGCCCACGCTGCTGCTTCTGTGGGAGGTAGCAGTGGGGGAGTAGAGGAGGACAGACTTCCCATGCACACCAGCTCCCACCGTCCCCTCCCCAACACCGCTGCCTCTGTATTAGAGGCACCCACGCTGGGGGTGGGGCGGATGTGTAGAAGGCTGTGTGTATCCACGAAGGTTAACCAGTGAGCCCAGGCTCATCGGTTAACAGTGTGCTAGGGTTCACGTTCACACCTCTATCTACCCCCCCAGTGAATAACCCGTCATGCTAGCATCACAGCTCCTCTGGGCAGCTTTTCCTTAGTGCACCAATGGCTTCCAAGTGGGTTCCACTTGCCTTTGCACATCAGCTCTTGGCACCTGAAGGGAAGATGTGAGAACAAAGACACTTTCGACGTAGGCCACCCTCCGAGATGAGCGAGTGACACTTTTAGAGCACCCCAAAGGATGTTACGGGCCACGGGTCTCATTCATAACGTAGCACAAGCGCAAGAGCCGGCAGAACTGAGCCCAGATTCACCAGCTACATGCCGAGGAACCACTTCAATAGTCACTGAAATGCAGCCACCTCTGGAGTGGAATGCGGCAGCTGCTTTAACAAACTGCTCCAAAGCTTTGGGACAGGAAGTGAAGAGTACGGCATCCAACCGAACCCATTGGTCGCGTTTAGTGTGTAGAACATAGACACCAGCGTGAAATCTGATCACGACACTGGAATTAACGCCTTTGCTCCAGGGACCATGTCAGGGGATCTCTACTGACTACAAGGAGTCAGGAGCTCTGTTCAGGCAGCCTTCCAAGGATTCAATATTACAATGGGATAGTAAATATCCAAACGTAATTTCCATTGCTTCCAAAAACACCTGCTTTGCCTCGGGAAGGAATTAGCAGCCTCTTAAAGGGGAGTTCCAGATATCAGGCTGATTGTCACTACGTAGCAGCTCCTGAGCAAAGTGGTTTAAGCCAGCCCATAGGAACCAGAGTTGTGAACAGCGCCACGCAAGGGCAAGTCACAGAGTCAATAGAGACCAGGGGGACCAAAACAAACAGCAGGTATCACCCCCCTTTCCTGGCCTTGCTATGTGATCACAGCAGAATCAGACCAAAGGGGCGTCTCATGCAGCACTTGGGGCGCAGTCTCACCCCTCTGCTGGTTTGTAGCTCGCCACCGAGGCCTCATGAAATCGGGGCACGTGGCAGCCTCATCTTCCTCAGCGTGGTTTGACGCGAGCCCCTGTAACTCGTGGAGGGGTTTGCAGCATTCCCGGGTTTGATCTGCTAAGGGGGTCTGCTGGAACTCACCCCGGGGCTCTGTCGGGAAATACAGCGGGGCTCTCTCCTCCCGCTCTGAGAAAGGGCCACGAGCAACTTTGAGAGGCGCCCCCTGGCCTCTCTCTCCACTGCCTGCCACGCGAGCTTCACTTCCAGCTAGGCCTGCCCACACTGCCTTTGGCACACGCATCTGAGTGCAAGGAAAGAGTCTCCTTTGCAAAGGCAGGGAAGGATCCCACGGTTGCTGCACTGGCCACTAGCCTGGACTGCCCTAGAGGCATGAAAGGGAGGTGACTATGCAGGCGGATTCTCTGTACTAAAGAGGCAGCTGCAGGCGCAGTTCCCAGCATGCAATGTGCCCTCTTGATCCAAGCTTGGCTCCCAGAGAGCATCCCACCCCGAGAGCTGTGGTCCACCCAGACTGAACCTCTGCCTGATTCAATTCAGTGGATCCCACTTTGGCCTCAGGCGCACGATTCTGCCTCGTGAATCCATTCAGGGTGCTAGAGCAGCGTCTCCTCTCCTCAGCCGATCACCTAAATGCAAGTCCTTTGGAAGCTGTCAGAACTACGCAGAAGATACCCGACCACCCAAGGCCCCTTCTCTGAGTCCCCAGACCTTTATGGCCGCTCCCAGGTTGGCTTTCAGCTTCATCCCAAAATACTGCGCAGATGCCTTTAGTGTGTCACAGTCTCGGTGGTTCAGCTTGGGGATCTGCTGCTCTCGATTCAGATGCGCGCCCCAGCAACCCGAATCAGGTGCCTGTGATAAAGAAAAAACAGTCACAGCGAGCGAGAGCACTGCGGCTCCAAAGCTCGGGTGTGGAAGGATGATAGGCCCTGGGGCTTTGGAGCCCCAGTGCAAATTCTGCAGAATCAGGCCTTCTGTCACAACACCCAGAAAGAGATGCCAAGAAGCTGCTGAGCTCAGCAAAACACAAGAGTCCCTTGGTTACCTGTTCCACTATTGGGGTTTCTTTAGCAGTTTGCTGGCAGACTGAGCTGGATTCAGGGAGGCCTTGATGCTCTCTTGCTTGCTTGAGTGCTTTATACTCTCTGTACAGTTCTGTGTATTAAAACAAGGATTAGAAAAGTAGATTTCATAAAAGTAGCTGGAACATGCTCCATGGTCTTATTTTTGCTGGAAACTGCCAGTGGTTCCCAAACTTTTCAGCATCACGCCCCCTTTTTGATTTTTGAGAAACCCTCACACTCCCCGCCCCCGAAAAATTGCAGCAATACTTGTTGAGCCAAAAAAAAAAAAAAAAGTAAAGAACTTGCCCTTTTAAGAGCAGAGTAGGCATTGCCCTTTTAAGACAGCCATTTTCACATGGTATTTTCTGAATTTTTTTTACTGGATGGACCGAGCTCTTTCGAGGGGGAGGGGGAATTGATGAGGGAAGTTGAGTCGCCTCGCACCCCCCCTGGAATTTCTCCACCCCCCCACGCCCCCCCCAGTTTGGGAACCTATGCTCCAGGCAGTAACAGACTAGCAAAGGAAGGCATTGTTCCATTCCCTAGAAAACAAGAATTCTGTAGATTTAAGTTTGGAGGGCTTGGATTTGTACCTCAAAAACCACATCCAAAGACCCTTCCCTGACTTTTGACAGCTAACTTTTTACATTAGCTGGAATTTATAAAAAAGCAATATGATCCTCATTATTATGCAATATTTAATTATTGGTACTGAGATTTGCAACAAATAGAGAAATTAAGGCATAATAGTTGATGGCCATTTTTAGCGTCTTAGGCCCAACCCTAAAAATGCAAACCTGCTTACATTTGGGCACGTAAGTTGGCCTGTTGATTTAAGCGGAAACCTCCATGGTATAAAGTTAATTGTGTGTTTAAATCTAGGCAAGACTGGGCCCTAAGATTTTTTTTCTAAGCACGAGGTAGAATGTGCTGAAATCAAGTCACCCTTGACACTCATCCCATCCAAGTACGTCACCCACATGCCAGGCTGAGGTGCCTTATGGGACTGGGCCCCTAACTACAATTGACTTCAATAGGAATAATTCTAGAATTTCTTCGGCTCCCTGCTGTTTCTGAGTAAAGGAGAAATCCAACATTACTGACATTTGCCAATTAAAAACTAACACTTCCAGGCTTAAAGATACATTATTAAAGGCTTGGAAATATTGCAGGTCTAAGACTGAACAATGTTCTCTTCTCCTAAAATAAACTTTTACTTTAAAATGCCTGTTTCCTATGTTCTGGCCGCATACATAATTCTTGCACTGTTGCCTAGCGTCCTCCAAGGATCTCAGAGCACTTTATATAAATTAATAAAGCTCCCAAGGAAGCTGGGCAGCAGGATCTCAAGTTCACAGAAGGGGAAACCGAGGAAGAGCTGTATGAGGGCGAAGAGCCACCCTACTTACAGATCACCCCAAGGGAAAGGAGACCTTTTCCAGGACAACTCTAGCCAAAGCCTTATCTCCTTTGGCATCAATGGTAATTGTCCCTATGGACAGATCCCTCATTAGGGACACAGGCAACCCACCTCGACCCCATGGAGCAGCTGTGTAGTTTGGGGCGGAGGGCAAGCTCCACTTACTTTTTGTCTCCTCTGGAGCCTTTTCCATATCAGTCTGTAAAATAAACACCAAACGGTTAGGTGTTGATACCGGGAGCAGATGTGTTTAAACAGAGGCTCTATCCTTTCAGCTTGCTCACTGTGCTGCCTTCTTCCACTTGGAACCACCTTCCCACCCTGTGCGCCAAGTGCCCTAAGCATCCTGTTTCAAGGACTCCTGAGAATTCTTCTCTTCGACACTGTCTATCAGCCCCTCCCTGTTTATTGTACAGTGTTCTTGCTCAGACTTTTATGCTGCAAGCTTTTTGGGACAGAGACTCACTCCCTCTTCCATCTGGTGCATGTGCTCCTCTGCACGACGCTGTCTACATGTCAGTGAGCTAAATACTAAGTGATGCCATCTCATCTAGCCCCTAATTCAGAGGCAGAGGTGCAGTAACAGGCCAGGTCTCCTGACGATGATAGTAGAATTCACAATAACAACTCTTCTCACATCGCATTTTCATGCGCAAAGCCTGTTCAACACATTTCAATAACCTCTCTAATCCTGGAGAAGTAGTAAAGTATTGTCTTTATGTCACAGAAGGAGAAACTGAGGCACATAATGACTCAGAGATGTGGCCTAGACAACAGAGGGAGCCAACGGCAGAACCACAATTAATTATTAGCAATTCCCAAACCACAAGAGGATATGGCCTCTTAACCTCCTTGAAAGGACACACCTTAGGAGACAGTTAGGAGGGAAATGGGGCTTCAATTTCTCAGCCTTTATTGCTTGACAAAAAAGTTGGGGGTTTTTTGGTCTTGGGGTTTTTTTTTGGGGGGCAGAGGGTACGTCTAGACTACAAGCCTCTTTCGAAAGAGGCTTTTCCGAAAGAATAGAAAAAGCCTCTTTCGAAAGAGGCTTTTCCGAAAGAATAGAAAAAGCCTCTTTCGAAAGAGGCTTTTCCGAAAGAATAGAAAAAGCCTCTTTCGAAAGAGGCTTTTCCGAAAGAATAGAAAAAGCCTCTTTCGAAAGAGGCTTTTCCGAAAGAATAGAAAAAGCCTCTTTCGAAAGAGGCTTTTCCGAAAGAATAGAAAAAGCCTCTTTCGAAAGAGGCTTTTCCGAAAGAATAGAAAAAGCCTCTTTCGAAAGAGAGCATCCAGACTGCCTGGGTGCTCTCTTTCACAAAAAAGGCTACTTTTTTCGGAAAAACCCTGCAGTCTAGACACAGCCAGATACATGGAAAAGGAAAAGGCCAATTTTCTGTGCCGCCCAAGTTTTAAGTTTTTTTTTTTTTAAACATCTGTGGTGCTCTGGGCACCAATACCCCCTACTGGAGCACAGTGCAAGAACAGGCTGTTATGAGCAAAAAGACCTTGACTCTGCAAACACTTTGCATGCACTTCACTTTCAGCACTGGTACGGTCCTAGTGAAGTTAAAGGAGCTAAAATATACACATCGTATCTGCATCACTTTGACCTTGGACTTGCTGATCTTGGTCATCCGGGATATTTATTGCACAGCTGAACCACACTCTGTCCCACAGACTGTTGGATCCCCCAGGCAGGGAGAATTGCGCACAGAGAACGAAAGCAGGACAGTTCTCTGCAGCCTGCCATTAGGTGATTTGGTACATCTGTCCCACTGGCAGAGAACCCAGCATGCCTACAGATCAGGCTTCCCAGGTTCAGAGCCAGCCAGGTTCCATCTCCCAGAGCATGCAGATTAGCTAGCTAGTATCTCCACCACCTTGGGAAAACACAAGTTCTGTGTCAGCACTTAGTTCTCAGTCTTGCAACCAGACCCTGGACCAAGGAGGTCTGCACAGGATCTGTGCAGAAGCCAGGCACTCATGTTACTAATATGATTACTAGTGTCTTATCCAGCTAGTTTTACAGCTGACCTAAACGGAAGGAAAAATGGATTTTTGTCCTTTTTGGCTTCTCTATGAAAGGATGCAAAGAAATGCTACTCGGTCATTCTCCTTTAAAATGTCAGGAATTTCAAGTCTCATCTCCCCTGCTTTGCTGGCGGTCTCCTTTGGAGGATGCGGAGATGCAAAGTAGCAGCTTTTGTCACAGCCCTTACCTGGAGGGCAGACAAGGTTCTTTTCACACAAGAATTTTTCTTCCAACCACTAGGCACCGGAGTTACATGGAGGTGAGCAAAACAAGCTTTAAACAGTGTGAATAAAGGCCACTCCCCTTCTCAATTAATCCAGGTTTACATTTCTTTGATATCGCCGATGGTGAGAACCTACTAGTTCTCTAGCCATCCCTTCTTCAAAATAGACACAACCTGAATTTCTAATGCTAAAACAAGCAGGAAAAAAAATTACAGGGCTCCTCTACGCAGCATAAGAGCTGCTGAGCACCATGGAGCCTGACTTCAAGCGAGGACTCTAGACATTACCATAATCTAAATACAAATCTTTGAATCTCTCATGTGATAAGACTTCCTCCAGCCCCGCTGGGAGACTGTCCTACTGAAAAACAGACTTATTAAGAATTCTTCACTGCTATTTCATCTTAAAATTCCCCTCTCTCCTTGTCATTCCACCCTTCCTTTTATGTCACTTTCATACCTTCTTAAACAGTTTCTGGCCCTCCTTAGCATTTAAACTTGCAGAGAGTTGATACACCAGGTGTTGCTCAGCCAAACTCGAGATTTAGCTCTTTTAATCTTTATTCAAATCAGTGCACGAAGCAGCAGGGCTACCTAATCCCCAGTACAGATGAGCACTGGCTGATGTCAAGCTACACTTCTCTTTGTATATTTTTCTTTTGCAAGGTTACTCAGAGGCCTCTCATTCCTTGAGTCAAATTCCCTCCCATCCCTGCACAGGTACCTTGCTCGGTTTCTTCTGGTGCTCTTGAAGAAATGTCATCTCCCATTTTTTTAGCAGGACTTTGACCTCGTTGTATCTGTCCATGGCTCCAAAGGCCTAGCTCTGCTCTGAAGAACTGCAGCAGCTGTAAATATTACATAGATCTTCAGGTAATCCTCCTCAGAGGAAGCTATATGCACACCACGCAGCTTTCTGCTGGTGAATACTATGCAATAGTCATACAAGTACCATCTATAGACAGTCAGGGAGGGATTAGTCAGGGTGAGGTAGCACGGGGGGGCTAGTGGGCCGAATCGGGCCCGTCAAGCCACCAGATCCCAGCCTGCAGCCGCCTCACCAGCACCCTTACTACACAGCAACTGCAGCCACTTTAAACTAAGGATGTTAAATAGCGTGTAATTAAGTAGCATGTAAAAAAATGCATTTTTGCATCGACTATTCAATTAGTCGATAGGGCAGCACTGCCGCTTTTGAAACGCTGTGGCAGCATTTCTAAGGGGCAGCACCACACAGCTGATCTTGGGCTTTGTGTGGCGCTGCCGCTTTGAAGTACTCCTTATCCCATTCTTGGTGCCTCTATCTGATAGACGCAGCAGGGGGGGGGGGGGCGCGGGGGGAGCGACTAGTCAGCTAGTCAACTAGTCCTTAACATCCCTACTTTAAACTAAGGATGTAATAGTGTAGTCGATTAACCAATAAGCAAGAGCTTATAGAATGCAATAGACTACACGCATCTCTCTTGTCCAGAGAAGAGCAACAAGAATGATTAAAAATCTAGAGAACATGACCTACAAAGGAAGACTGAAAGAACTGGGCTTGTTTAGTTTTGAAAAGAAAAGACTGAGCGGGGACATGAGAGCAGTTTTCAAGTATCTAAAAGGAGGAGGGAGAAAACTTGTTCTTCCTGGCCTCTGAGGATAGAACAAGAAGCAAGGGGCTTAAACTGCAGCAAGGGAGGTTTAGGTTGGACATTAGGAAAAACTTCCTAACTGTCCGGGTGGACAAACACTGGAATAAATTGCCCAGGGAGGTTGTGGAATGGTCTAGACCAGGGGTCTCCAAACTTTTCTGCCCGAGGGCCGCATTAACTATCAAACAGCAGTTCGGGGGCCGACTACACACTTGAGGTCCAAATAAAAAACAATCAAAACATGGATGTTGTTTTTAATTATTTATTTAATATTATTTTATTCAGTTATTATTTAATAACACATTGATACACTACACATGAACACCTGTATTAGTGTGAATGGTGAAATTGTTTCCTGGATGCCAAAATAGCAGACATTTCTGGCTTTAGAAATCACTGTTTGAAATTGGGGGTGGTGCTTGTCCTAGTCCTGCAGGAGGGGCTCCAGAACGGGGAAACTGCTGAGAACTCATTTCCACCTGCGCAATGTGATGAAAATTGTAAGCAACATAATCCTGGCAATATGTTCAGCCTAAGACACTCACACTTGAAGAGATGTGATCGCTCTCCTATCATGCAGGGAATGAGGTGACAATTTGTAACATAGCCCCATGGAACAAGGGGCATGCATTTTAATGGGAAAAGCTGGTTTGAAAGCAGACACGTTATCACTTGGTAAAGGAAGTTGGAAAGCAGTGCCCAACGCTCCCACAGACTGATACCCGGCAGGGCGGTGCTGCTCTGGGTTGTGGATGAGAGAGACCAGACGTGGAAGGGAGAGGGATGTTTCTTCAGGGCGCACTGCAGGGACCAGGGCAGCGTGCTAGGCACGGCACAGCGTCACCCAGAGGCTGTGCCACAGCAACCAGACCGCCTCCTGCAATGGGCACCAGCTCCTCAGCCCCGCCCCCGGAGAAGTAGCCCCTCGCTCCTAGCCCCTGAGAAACCACCGTCGGGTTTCCTCCCCTCCGTCCAGCCTCCCGCGATCCTCTGCCGCCGGGTCTGATCCGGAGCCCGCCTTCGAGACCCCCCTTTTTCGCCCGCCCGGCCAAGCGGCACGCGGAGCCGTCCCTGACCTGGGCTACCTGCTGTCCCGTGCGCGCGCTGGGGCCTCGCGCAGCCGCCTGCGAATCCGTTTCTCCCGCTGACACCAATGCTCGGACTCAAGCTCTCTCCTTCCACCACCGCAGCCACCCTCCGCCTGATTGGCTCCGGTTGGTGCCGCCCACAACGCGTGACCCCGCCCAATCTGGGTTGAGAGGGACTGAAACGGCGGCATCGAAAGGGCGTCTGGGAAACGTAGTTTAAACCGAGAGCTCAGGTTAGATAGACATCTGTCAGGGATGGTGTAGACGGAGCTTGATCCTGCCTTGAGGGCGGGGGGCTGGACTCGATGCCCCCTCGAGGTCCCTTCCAGTCCTAGTATTCTATGATTCTATTATTCTCTCCCCCACTCCCCAAACCAGTAATTTTTTTAGCAGGCTAGCCAGCTGCCCAGCTCAGTTCTGGCTCACACTGGGTGCAGGACCTACACTTTAAACGCAGAGCCACAGTTAGGGTATTAGAAGCAGGGCAGGCTGGCAGCCCGGCTCAGTTCCAGTTCGCGCCAGGCCGGGGAGCTCAGGCCCCCCTGCCCTGCAGACAGCACACTGCTGCCTCTTATCAGACACAGCACAGGGCGACAATCAGCTGGTCCACAAGAGGAGCTGGTCTTTAAACTGGCTCCCCTCGTGTACTAGCTCCCGCCTGGCACCCCACCTTGCTGCCGGCTCTGCCCCCAGGGACTACAGATTAGTCGACTAACCAAGAAGTGGGTTGTGCCCACGAAAGCTCACGATTCCATCTACGTTGTTAGTCTTTAAGGTGCTACTAGACTATTTGTTGTTTTTTAAGTTTTTCCTGTTGCAGACTAACTCAGCTACCCCCCTGAAACCGATAAGAATTCAAGAGGTTACTCGAGTATTCAATTAAGTGATATTTAACATCCCTACGTAAACAGCAGGCTGCTAATTGCTATGCAGTCTTTGCAGGGCGGAGAAAGCTTTGTGTGTGGCCCCACTTCCTAGCAAAATCCCTCAGCTCTCGTTGGCCAGTTTCCAGCCAATAGAAACTGAGAAATTTTGCTGAGGAGCTAATGAAGCCTCCTCACTCCCTGTGCTCTAACAGAGCCATGTGGAGCAGTCAGCCCAGCACACAGGCAGGGAACCTGCTGGCTAGGAGCCACCCAGAGCCTGCTCTGGCACCCTGCTCCTTCTTCCCCCCAACTACCTGCCCAAGGCCTCCACACAAATCCTCTGTATCCTCTCCCCAGCTCCTCCAGGTCACAACTCCCTCCCAGACCCTGCACCTCTCCTACACCCCTCTCCCAGGCGACTCTCACTGATTATGCCAGTGGTGGGCAACTTGCAGCTGGCATGCGGCCCACTGGGGTTCCACCAGCATCCCATGCACCCCCTGTCTGTCCTCCTCCCTCTCTCACAGACTGGGGCCGTGCACTTCCTACTTCTCCCCCTTCCTCCCAGCAGTTTAGGAGTGCCATGAATCCACTGGTTCATGCACTGTCACCTCTCCTCCATCCTAGAACTTGAATGCCAAAATTCAGCCGTTTGAAGGATAGGGAGGAGCGGGGAAGGAGCATTAATTAGCAGATTCGTGATGCTGCTAAACTGCTCGGAAGGAGGGGCAGGAGTAGGAAGTGAAGGGTTCCCATGCCCCAGGGTGCAAGAGGCATGGGGGAAGGAAGCAAAAAGGGGGTATGTAGACTGCAGGTGGAACTCCAGTGGGCCGTGGGTCACAGGTTGCCTACCACTATATTTCAATCATGTGGCCCACTGAGATAAAGGAGGGCCACTCACACGGCCCACTCTCTAGCCTTGCTTGCCCATCATTGGTCTATGCCAGGGCTGGGGAACCTTTTCAGGGTCGGGGGGCCACTGACCCACAGAAAAATCAGTCAGGGGCCGCACACAATGAGAAGCAAAAAACCAAAACCACAAAACCAGAAACAAAGAAACACCCACCCTGACGTGGTCCCTGTCTGACCACTCCTTACATTCCCTTTGCACACCAGAGCCTGGGGGGGGGGCTAGTATTTTGTGTGCTCCAGCTTTGCAGGGGAATGGTAGGGGAAATGGAGCACCAGTGCGGGAGCCCCAAGCCTCAGGAGCCAGATCCAGGCAAGCCCGGGGCAACATCTGGTCCCCAGGCCTTCGGTTCCCCACCCCTAGTCTATGCCTAATGGATGGCAACCGGATACATCCCCACTATCATCTGAAGTTAGTGCAGTCTGCTGCTTCACTTCCAAACTGAGCTGTGTTACAGAGCTCCCATTCCACTCAGGTAGGAGTGCAAGATCATCACAGTTCAAAACAACTGCACCAGTATCGCCCCTCAGTAGCTCAGCAAGGGCACCGACTCAGAAGGGCACCCACTCAGCAGCTCCCAGGACCACAACTGAGGACTCTCTTGGGTGGAGAATCTGCATCTCTTTGCTGCCTAACAAGGGTATGCTCAGGCTGAACAGCTCCCTGCCTTCCTTGTGACTGTCAAAACAGACGGGCTTGCTTTCTCTTCAGAGACGGAGAATAGAAAAGTTGGTACAGGTATAAGTGACCACACAGAACTTTCTTCAGCATGCCTGTATTGTTAAGGTAAAAAGCATGTCTGAAAAATAAAGACTCTACACAGACTAATCAGCTTACTAGAGTTTACACCAATTCTAATTTCGGGTTCTGGCAAGACAAGCACTTTGCCCCTCCTGCCTCAGCGTCTTTTGTTTACAGACCACACTTGAAAGAGAATCCTCTGAACTGTCATTCATACTTAAATTCAACACTTTATACCTAAGTTTAAACAAAGACATAAATTATCTTACCCATTACAAAGATAGCTTCCCCAATTATCACCTCTAATATCATTAGCTCACAGACATTTACCTTCCCCCCAACTCCCTTCTGTTCTGAAATTTGATTTGTCCTTTTCATACGTGTTCATTTGTTTTAATTGTATCCTTTGCTATATATGATTGTGACAATTTTCTTCCACGATTTGATCTGAGGAAGTGGGTCTGGCCCACGAAAGCTCATCACCGAATAAACCATCTTGTTAGTCTTTAAAGTGCTACCTAGTCCCGGTTTTTGTTTCAGCTGCCCCAGGCTAACACAGCGGCATTTCTATCGCTATTTTGTTTACACGTTCATCATCACTTCAATTCAGAGCGAGCCTCTTCCAGACCAGGTCAGTCCAGTCTCTTCTAGGGATCCAGGGAGCGACCAGTCTACAAAGAGTCTCTCCCCAAGGGCCAGGTTTCAATAGGTTGCTGGGGGGGGGGGGGGGGGTGCGGTTCCCCCTT